ACTCCCTTCCTCTTGACTGTGCCAACTTGGGCACTTCTCTGAGGCTAATTCACCTTTGGTAATCCAACCTCACAGGGCTGTCCTAGGAGTTGAATGAGATGATGGGAGAGAGAGGATGCTCGTTGTCCGGCTCATGACTGACATTTAGAAGGTTATTGCTGGGTAAGCATCACTTCTCTCTTGGCTTAACAAGCTTATGGTCTACTTGGTAAGTTGGAGAAAAGAATTTAGCGGACCTCCGAGCTAGCCTGGAGCCGGCTGGGAAGTCAGTGATCTAAGGCGTATTTGCCTAGAAATGCAAATGTCTTCTTTGCCCCCATTCACTCTCTGCCACTAACCTCAACTCCCATTGCCCCAAAAGGAAATGAGTGACTTTTCTGCTTCAAAGCTGAGTGCCTATAGCCCCTCTCATTCCTACTCCCTGGGAGGTGGGCAGTGGAGATGACAGGAAGTCAACCGTGGGGTGGGGGTCTTTCTGGAACTTGGGCATATAGAAATGTGGTGGAGGGCGCTCCTTTTTCTGGCCTTCAATGGTCCGGATGGGGGAGGGGGCTAGCTGTTGAGCAACTGCTCCGGAGACACTCCAGAAGCTGAGATGAACATATGCCTCTTTCTAACAATTGGCCTGGGAGCCATCCAATAGATGGAGGGCGGATCCACAGGTCTGGGATCGGGAGCCTGCAGCCCAGCTGCGTCCTGTAGTTTATGAACCAGCCTCAGAGACCAAACAGAGGTGGAGGGGGCAGGTCAGGGGTCCAAATTAGCAACCGTAATTCAAAAGCCTAGCCTAAGTCCGCTCCTTCTCCACCCTTGCTTTCACAGAAACTTTTCTCACCCCAGACAAATACCGAGGGGCTTTGGAGGTGTACCTCTCCTGCTACCCCAGTAGAGCTTTAGGGTCCCACTGACCGTGCCTGTTCTCTGCAGGAAACTAGTCTTCGAGCCAAGTGAGAAAGTGTAGCAAGTGTAGCAAGTGTAGCAAATGTAGCAAGTGTAGCAAGTGTAGCAAGTGTAGCAATGGCGTGTGAAGTGTGCTTGTTACCCGAGTTGGACTTG